GGTGGTGGTGATGGTGACAGTGGTGATGGTGACAGTGGTGATGGTGATGGAGGAGGTGGTGATGGTGATGGAGGTGGTGGTGATGGTGATGTACGTAGTGAGTAGAGGTAGACTTCTGATCTACCGCTGTGCCATATCATGTACCACAGAATTTAATAGTTTGGGGGGCTAAGTGGTTTACTTTAGTAAGACCTAACTTTTCAGAGCCTGAATGACTGTGTATCTCCCACAGCTCCGAGTGAACACCCTTCAAAGCTCTGCATTTAGGACTATAATAGGTTTTTTTTCTGTAAATACTTGTTGAATTTATCATTTTCTTAGAACTGCAACAATATGAGAGATGACCACAAGAGGACAGTAGAGAAACAGCAATAACACACATCTGCATCTCCTACTGATGGGTGCACAGCATTTCCTCCTCTCTGGCAGCCACGGGGAGAGCATGACCCTCAAGGGACTCATAATGCGGGAATCTCAGGACCATTTGAGGTGTCATGGACTGTCATAGAATTTAACAGCTGTTTAGAGCCAACTGTTCAATGTCTTCAGCCTTAGCCAGTAGCACCTTGCCTGACTTAACGGTAATTGAGCCAGAACCATCCAGATGGGTCGGTCCCTAAGGAATTTCCAAGCCCCCCCCCCATAAAACAAAACAAACGAAAAGACAATCATAAGAAATGATTTTTAAAAATTATGTGGTGCTGACCTAGGGAAAAATGTTCAGCAAAAACTACCTATTACCTCTGGCATACAACTGGTGTGTGTTAATTTTAATTCTATTCAGATGACTCTTAAATACAAAGTCTCCCTCCTCCACCCCCAGTTTTCTCTCATTAAATGCAATCATTTGCATCAATCATTCATCTCAATTATAATGCAATTTGTAAGTAATAACATTCATTTATTTTTCAATGTGTCTTACAGACACGGGACCTGATTTTGAATCCTGGAATGGTTGAAATAAATAAATAAATAAATAAATAAATAAATAAATAAATAAATAAGGAAAGAAAGAAGGAAGGAAGGAAGGAAGAAAGGAAAGAAGAAAGAAAGAAAAACTGTTGGCAAGTGCTTGTATGCAATCCCAGTGGTGAAGAACTGGAAATAGTCAGATCCCTGGAGCTTCCTGGCCAGCCAGTTCTAGCCTACTCTGTGAGCTCCAGGTCCCGCGGAGAGATCCTGTATTGAAAACAAAGTCTTCAACTTCATCCTTCCTGAGCAACACTTGATGTTGTTTGGTTTCTGGCTTCCATTCCCTCCTGACACACACTCTGTACAGATACATGAAATGAACATAAACAAATACATGAACATATACAGAGACACATTTAAAAAGAAAAGAGAGAACCGTCTAATTGATTTACTAGTGCCCGACTGAAGCATACTCTTCATTTCTTACATCTGGGTTTAGACTTCCTGCAAGAACACTCAGAGGGGAGGAAAAAGCCAACAGGAAAGAAAAAAAAAAAGCTCAAAGGAAGGTGCTTGAGGGAAACGGGCTTGCTTTTTCCACCATGTGCAAAATGAAACCACAGTAAAGATGTCAAAACTCTTAGCTCAAAATAAAACAGGGCTTTCCCTGCAAAAGGCTGAGTTACACGTTGAATCTATTTTCTGTTTCCCCACTGTATCCATTTTGGCTTCACTCTAATTTATTTGGGAGGGAGTTGTGATGCAGGAGAGAGGCAACATCATATTATTCTTGGGAGGTCCATAATTGTCTTTGATGAATTATTTCTCATTATTGTGGTGAGTCTGGAGGGGATCTGTGGGCTACCAGGTGCCTTGTTTAGCTTTACCAATCCATATTTTGGCATTTACGTGCTCACGTGGTACAAGAAACACAGGAAGCTAATCCTTTAAGGTTTTGCAGATGTCCCATTATTGAAGACTTCAGAAAATGAGCTAGGAAACTAGGTGATGTTTCACAGAGCATGAGATCTTCGACGTCAGACTTGATGTCTAAGGAGCCACCTTTATTGGGTTGTTCAGCAGTAACTTTTTAACAACATGCATCACTAAACTGATGAAGAGGTTCTCTACGACCCCTTCAGAACCTGGAGGTGTAGGAGCGTCAAGCAAAGGCTGTCCAATCAGAGGGACACTTGTAGTGGAAGAACTTTGTGACAGATTAGGGGATAACCTGACTGAGGAGACAGGATCCTGTGCAAACAAATGGTACACAACTCAGCTAAGTGAGTGACAGAGTCAGAAAGATGCTTAGAATCCTAGAAAACCAGTGCTCCACCAGTGGCAGAGGTTCAGTTCCAAGCAGGCTGAGGTTTTAAGTTAGATACTGCCATAACCAGTTTTCTAATGTTAGTTGGCCACATTAAGTATCTTTTCTTGGCTTAGCAAACATGCTATGATGTCAGACTTGCAGGTAGGAGATGGAAGGTCTTGGGTTTCACTCCTTTCTTTGTGCAAGACTCAGGGCTTGAGGTGGAATTTTGAGCAGGGTGAGACATTAACATACCCTGCTCAGCGGTTAGCTCCAACCCTTCCCTAGGTGGCAGGCCCTCCCCTGTCCTCAGTCCTCTCTGAACTTTTCCCATCTGTGACTTCCTGAGTAGCATATGTTGCCCACAGTGCAGCTAGATTTTAATAGATTAAGTGACAATGTTCAAATTTAAATGAGAGGTTTAATTTTAGACTTCTCGGCCCAGTAAACATCATTGTTACAAGTTAAATGTCAGAGATGTCAGGGAAATAACAGTTGTCTCAGCCAGCTTTGTTTTTTTCATTAGCAGGAGGAAATGGCCTTTGAGCAATGTTCTGATGAGCTGTATTCTTGTTCCCTGCATGGCTCGGGCAGCCACATACTCAAGAATAGACTGCCTTTCCACCCCGGACCAATCCAGAATCAAGTGATGTTTTTCTGCAATGAGGAAACAATTGACCAAGACTTTGTTAGATGGAAGAGCAAATAGAGGCTTTGTTAAACCACAAGAATACCCCTCATGGGTTATTAGTCAGAATTCTCTAAAGACATAGGAAGAATAAAGCTGGTAACAAAGGGTGTTATTAGACTCACTCCCAGGGTCAGTCCAGGGAGACCAACAATGGCTATTTAACAGCAGAAAGGCTGAGAATCTAGTAGTTGCTCAGTTCATGAGGCTGGATGTCTCAGAAGTTATAATCTAGTGCTGGAGTCCAGGAGGATTCCTGAAAAGCTACTGATTTTCAGTCTATGCTGGGATACCAGCTGTAAAAACAGAGTAGATAAACTTGCCAGTGAGATTAGAGCAAGCTGGTTTAAAAAAAAAAAGCAAAAAAGCAAAGACAAACAAACAAAACAAACAAACAAACAAACAAGAAAACCCCGAAGTTTTCTTCTTCCATGTCCTTTTATGTGAGCTATCACTAGAAGGTGTGGCCCAGATTTGGGCTGCATCTTCTCACCTCAAATAATCTGATTATTAAAATTCCTACCAGCCTGGGTTTTAGTTGATTCCAGATGTAGCTAAATTGACAAGCAAGATTAGCTGTCACACCACTCAGAACAAATCCCTTTTTATTCATTTACAACCAGGCGAGAGGTTTTGTCCGGTATCTTTAGTACCACATCCGCAGAGTTTAGATCTGTTGCCCTTATAAGTGCTCAATGTATACTTCATAAACATGTGAAGGAACAAATAAATGACAAATGTTTATTTAGTAAACAGATACAGGTTGTGGTGCAGCAAGATGGTTTAGTGGCAACAGGGCTTGCTGCCAAGCCTGAAAACGTGAGTTCTATCCCTGAGACCCACATGGCATAGGAGAGAATTGATACCACAAACTGTCCTCTGACCACACACCATATCATTCGTACACATACCTGATCACACACACACACACACACACACACACACACACACACACACACGGTAGGTAAATGGAACCACCGATAATCAGGTGGTGACAGTGAACCAGTAGTCAAAGATACCGTGTTCATGGAAAACTGATCTGCTCTCTCCAATGGTGGTGAGCATTCAAAAAGTAAAGACCTATGTGAGAGTCTGAGAATGGAGGGGTGCAAAGACCTTAAATGAGAAGGCCAGGAGCAACCATACCAAAAATGAGTTTAATGTGCTCATTGGCTTTCATTTGTTCCTTTGGTAATTAATGTCTCTATTAATCCCTTGGGAGTTTTATATGATATATTTTGATGATATCCACCCTCACTCCTCCTGCTACCTCCTCTCAGACCCCTGTCCACTCCCTCACCCTCCTCATTTGTGAGTTTAACCTACCAGAGCTCAGCAATGCATGGCGACCTGTGCAGAGATGTTTACTGCAGTGTTATTATGACTTTCCAAACTGAGACCAACTTAACACCAGAAACAAGTTCAATAAGATATGCTCCATCAACTGAGAAATGTTGGACAAGCATTAAAGAGGAAGAACATTTATGTGTATCCATATAAGTACAAGTGTGTATTTTTTCACATAAATATAAATTCACATGAATCAGATAAATGTGATCAACCTGTCTCATGAAAAAGGTAAACAAAATTGCAGAGTAGAATATGTAGTGAGTCCATGTGTGCTTCTCTCTCTCTCTCTCTCTCTCTCTCTCTCTCTCTCTCCTTCTCTCTGTGTGTGTGTGTGTGCACACACGCACACCAGCGAGCACCTGTGTGCGATGTGCACATGTGTGTGTAGGTGTTCCTGCCTGTGCATGTGCTGGAGGTTGACTTTGGGTATATTCCTCCTGGCCCTTGAATATAATTTAGAGACAGAGTCTGTTGTTGAGCCTGGAGCTCACCAATTAGCTACGCTGTGTGGCCCGCAAGCTCTGGAGATCCAGTTGTCTCTGCCTCGATAGTACTGGGATCTCAAGTGCACATCACATGTCTGGCTTTTTACGTGGGTGCTGGGGATCTGAACTCAGGTCCTTATCCTTGCACAGCAAGCACTTCACTCACTGAGCCATCTCCTCAGCCCCTGAGCCATTTTTTTAAATGAGAAAATATGTATATAATATGTACAAGAATGTGCCTTGTGTGCAGTGGTGTGACATATGTCCTATTGAATCTGCAGATATGTCTGCTCTGTTTTTAATGCAGGTCAGTAATGTAGTAATTGGGGGGAGTTGCCTCCAAGGGAGATGAGATAAAGAAGAAAAACCAGCTGAGTGAATAGTTATCAGGAAGAATAGAACAGAAAGGTTTAAGTTAGGGTAGAGGGATTCTCTGGATATATGCAGCAAGTGGCCGATAGGTGGCTCCAGAATCCAATCTACTGACTGGCCTCTGACTTAAAGCTGTCAAATTTCAAGGTTATTCTCAGTTGTTGAGATCTGGTCAGCTGCCACCAAGGGAGAGGAGGGAGCTACCTCTCCTGCACTTCCTAGCTTGAGTCCACCCTCCTCTGCCTGCAGCTCTCAGTGATGAGCTCTACCTTCTACATCTATCTCTCTGGGCCTTCCCTCATCCTGGGGTTATAGCTAAATTATCTGAGGCTTCTCAACCTGTCACCTTACCTGTTTCTCAGGCCCCTGATGTAACCTAGCCTTAATTTAAAAAAAAAAAAAAACACAGTAGTATCCCTCAGATAGCATAAGCTGACTCACAGAACATGACAAAAATAAACAAATAAAAATTTAAAAAGAGCTTTCCCTCTATCATTAACTTGTCTGCTAGAGGATCTTTAACCCTTTAAAACCTACATCTAGCTTTTAGGACTGCGATTCTGAAAGCTTCTTCCGAAAGCAGGATTGTCTGGCTTATACTCTGGACATGGCTTCTTGGCTTCTGTTTCCTTTACCCTCCACCAGAGAACTGCCCTGATGGCTGGGGCTAGCTGGTAGATTTCTCTGGTAGCCACCTTTCACCTTTCCCTCTGTTTCCAGGATCCTTTTATTTTCTTTCTGGGTTTCTGAAGCTCTTTTCTCTCTCTCTCTCTCTCTCTCTCTCTCTCTCTCTCTCTCTCTCTCTGGAATACAGTCTATCTATCTCTAAATATGTGTATTTATTGCATCTCTACCTATAGATAGCATCTATATATCTATATCATCTATCCATATCTATCCGAAACGTTTTAATTAAAAAATATTTTCAGAAATATATTCTCATCACAGTTTCCTATCCCCAAACCTCCCAGATCCTCTCCACTTCCTTACCACCCAACTCAGGCCCTTTCTTCCTTCCCTTCTCTTCTGAGAACAAACAAGCAAACAAAAATTCAGACTCTCCCCTTCACTAGCTCACTCAGAGATTGGCCTCTTGTCTTTCACAGAAACCTGTGTTCATATCTGCAGTGCTGTGACTAAATATTTGACAGAGGCAATATGAAGTAGGGGATGTAGTTTCAGGAGACGTCAGTCTGACTAGATGGAGTGGATCTGATCAGGACCATTGTAGCTAGAGTGTGAGGCAGAAGCTTTTTCATGGCTGTGGGTTAGGAAACACAGCTGGAATTGGGGGCCAGACTACAGCCTCTAAAAGCCCCTCCCACGTGGCCTACCGAGCTCCAGCTCCACCTTCTAGAAGTTGCACAGCATCCCAAAACTCACCATCACTTGGGGAAGAGGAGCTCAAAGCGTGAGCCTGTGGGGAAACATCTCAAATCCAAGCCATAACATTGTTCAATTGCTTAGGTCAGGTAAGATGCATATTTTTATAGTCCCCCTTTTTACAATAATGATCAGAGCCCAATGCTCCTGCCTGGGAGTAGATTGGAAGTTGAATGTGTAATGCTTTGTGGCCAAAGACCACCAGGAACAGCTGAGGCTGAAAATCTAGGGCTTAGTGGCAGCCCGGAGGAAGTTTGTACATCCTGAGAGCAGGAGCTGGGGGTGGGAGGTGTCCCTCAGTAGGGGAGTGTTATGTTAGAAAGATTCTGCTACAGGGTCTAGGGTGGTTGTGTTAGGTGGTTTGGGGAATACTTTTTGGAGGAGCTGTTATATACTGCTAATAGGAGGTAATGCTACAGTTGAATATATCAAAACATTCAATGGAGAAGGAGGGGAGGAATGCATGAGCCCCTCCCTCCCTCCCTCCCTCCCTCCTTCCCTCCCTCCCTCCCTCTCTCCCTCTCTCCCTCTCTCCCTCCACCAGTAACTAGTAAAGAGCAGCAGCTGGTTACAGGAACCAGGAAGAACTGTCTGATGTTTTTTCTGCTTGCTTACTTGTTTGTTTTCTTGTGGCACACCAGTACTCACATGTTGCATTCTCACACTTGATTGTGCAAGCATCTTCTATCTTTCTTCATCACTGGTCCTGAGAAACCTCATCAGATGTTGATCTGCAGGAACTCTGAAATACTGCATTGACCCAGCTGGGCCAGGTTCTGGCTAGAAGAGGCAGTCTTGTTTTCTCTCAAAAGGAAGAAGAACAGCTTTCCTCCCTTACCTGAAGTCACTTTCAGCAAATGGCAATCTTACTGTTGGCTGTGCTGTGCAGGCTCCAGGGATCTGTTGAAGCAGTTGGAATAACAGCTGAATTTAGTCCCAGTAGAAGTAAAACTTGGCCTCAGGCCCAGGGCCTCTGTAGTTTCTGAAGATATAAGACGCTCGGCATTCTGGGAATCAGTGTAAACAGGAACAGGGCCTCCCTCAGTCTTGGTGACTTGCTCTCTGCACACCACCTCTTCCCCTTTGCTTTTCAACCACATGGGTTTAGCTTTAGCTTTTCTTGCTGGCTCTTTCATCCGTTTAGTATTTCGAAAACACCTAGCATCTCTCAGTTTCCTTTGTTACTATTCTAGTCCTATTGTTTAGTGTTTAACGATTCTGATGCTGGATTTTATGACACCTCACTCCCCCCCAATGACAGAACTGAATTGTCAGTGCAGTATTTTCCAAAGCAATGCCACATATGTCCAGGATCTCAGGAATCTGTGAGTTAATGAAGGAGAGGAGTGTTGCTGAGCCTTTTGGTTTCTGGAGCATCTGTGACTGACAGTCATATTTAAAATCTCTGTGCTTGGCATGCACAAGGCTCACATTTCTCTTTTAGGGTTGTTCTATTTTCTGAACATCCAAGCATTTCTGCCATACAGCAGAGCTCAAACCCAGGTCCTATGGAAGGCGTCTGCAAAGTTTTCCCAGTTAGCTTCTCCAGGGAAGCGCATGAGCTGGTAATGGTTTGAGAGCAATGAACTGAAAGTATATGAATCTAGATGTCTTGAAATTGTATTAAATATTAGACTCTAGAATTGTCAAGACTATATTAATTTACCAAGAGCTGTTCCATTCTGGAACAACTATAGTTAGGATTCCTATTATTGTATTTGTAGACTGTTGTCTTTCACAGTGATCCAGATTTCTTGGATGTATACAGGGATTTTTAAAGACTTAACATTTGCCCGGCGGTGGTGGCGCACGCCTTTAATCCCAGCACTTGGGAGGCAGAGGCAGGTGGATTTCTGAGTTCGAGGCCAGCCTGGTCTACAGAGTGAGTTCCAGGACAGCCAGGGCTACACAGAGAGACCCTGTCTCAAAAAACCAAAAAAAAAAAAAAAAAAAAAAAAGACAACATTTTCTTTTACTGAGGCACCCATTTCTTTTATCTTGTCTTCAATGCCTGAGATTCTGTCTTTCATTTCTCGTATTCTCTTGATGAGGCTTACCTCTGAATTCCTTGTTTGAGTTCCTGAATATTTCATTTACAGTTTTCCCTCAGTTTGGGTGCTCTATTTCTACTTTCATGCCTTAAATATAACTTTTTCATTTCGTTCTACTGTTTGTTTCTGTTTTTATAGATTTTATTCATGAATTTGTTCATTTCCTCTTTAAAGTACTCAAATATATTCATAATAACTATTTTGAAGTCTTTGTCTTGTGTTTCAGCCACACTGCATTTCTTAGGGCCTACTACAGTAGGGTTGTTGAGGTCATGTGAAGGTGTGTGGTCTTGGTGGGTTAATAATTGTATTTTTGTGATAATGTCTAGACATTTGGGGTTGTGCTGAGAGTGATTGTAAGTGTTGATATATGCTCTTGTGTTTACTGGGTGGGTATTTGTTTCCTGGTTTCTGTTGCCCTTTCTGGATGTTAGGAATGTATATTGACTGTCAGTTTCCTAATAGGGAGTGCTTCTGAATACCTACCAGATATGGCCATTGTTGGTCTAGGTGGAACACATTTCTAGGTATGGGAGACTGACACAAAAGGATGGTGATAATAAAGGAGGAGCTAAATGGGACTCTAGGAGGAGGTAAGCTGGGTCTGCCATGCGGTTTGGCAGTCTTCATAGAGTGGAGTCAGAGAGAAAGGATAGGACCCTGAAAGTGGTCTGTTACAGGGGTGAGGATGAAACTGGGACTCTCTAGTAGCTTTTGGGATCTTGGATAACTCAAATTGTAAAGAGAAAAGAGGCTATTTGGAGATAGGCATTATTCATTACTCTGCACATCCTATTACTGGGTATCCTGAACACTGGCTGCACAATTTTGTTAACTTGACAATTGGAATGAAAGCCCTGGTCCTACCCATTGCCTTCCCACTACAGTACAATTTTGTAACTACCTATGCCTTCATGCTGAAATGTGTGTGTATGTGTGAGGGGGGTAATGGTGTGGGGTTCAAGAAGCATCAGTTTATTAGAGCTGTTCACACAGTGTGACATCCAGGACAGAACACATTGCCAAAGTCACTATCTGGCCAGTTCAGAGATTAAAACCCATCACAGTTTTGTCCTAGCGCTAAAGCTTTCATCGACATATCAAGATGTGCTCACTGCTGGTGGGCTCTCTGACCTGCTGACACACCAAGTTAATATCGATCATAACTTCCAAGTATCCTTTTGGTTAGCATTTTTGTATTATTGTTTTATCATTTTTTGATGTGTATATAGTTTGTTCCCATTTGGCATTATTCAGCCAGTCATTTTATAGTTCTTATATAGCATTCCAAGATCCAAAGGGCTTCTGGCTACTTGGTTAGTCGGGGTGTATGCTGTACTCAAAGACTCCTCTAGACAGTATGAGGTGGGCTCTTTAAAAAGCTGAGGATATCTGGGATTTTCTATTGTCATGACCATATTGGAAAGAACTGGAAAAATTTCTGTGAGAATAGATTGTAAGTATCCTACAGACTGTTGAAATAACAAGTTACCTTTTTTTTTTTTCAATATCTAAGTTGAACATTTTCTTTCTTACCTAAATCCGATTTTTTTCTTGGTGGGGTAAATGTTTTAGTCTTGGTTTTCAAAATAACAAAGATTGTGTGTGTGTGTGTGTGTGTGTGTGTGTGTGTGTGAGAGAGAGAGAG